CCCTCTCTGTGTTTTCTTTGATACTGTAGAGGAATCCCACAGACTTGTATACTGACACTGTATCCTGCTAAATTATATCTCTACTAAATTGATCTATTAGCTCAATTCCTGGTGGATTCTAACCACCTGCCTTTTGATTGGCAGGTGAAAAACCTACCACTAGGCCACCAGTTCTCCCTCCAGGTTACTTTACTTCATACCTGGGAGCTGCTGACTTTCATTCCTTCGACATCTGCTCGTCTTTAGATAGCATGAATTTCATTTACAAATTAACCATCAATTCTATCTCCTCTAATCCTAAAGGCAGGAGTTTATCACTATGAGATCACCATATGTCACTAACTTGGTTTCTGTTCAAAGTGACTCTGTGTCCAACAGAATGAAACAATTCTGCACGGTCCTTACTGCAGGTGCTGTGCTTGAGTCACTCTGTGACAGCCACTCTGTCACTTCACCTGGAGGGTCATCTTTTTTGCTAACCCTCTGCTGTACCAAGCATGATGTCCTTCTGCAGGGATTGGTCTCTCCTGACAACATGCCCAAAGTGTGTCTTCAGTCTCCCCATGTTGTTTTCCATCACGCCCCATCAAGCTCTGACCAGTTACTTTTCACTAGTCTTTTCTTTAGCTTTAAAGGAAACTGACACATATCAATAAATTTAAATATCTGCTCATGCCAGGCAATGCATTGAAGTTTCCATAGGCTCTTATTTAATTTTCAAAATCAGAGTAATGGCTTGAAATTTCTTGTGGGCAAACATTTGCTACTTAAGTGTGTACACACACATACACATAGAGTACATGTATACCCAGACTGCTTATGCTTGCTCAAAACAAATGAAGACTTTTTTTTTTAAGGTTAGAAATTTGCAGATCTAATTACAGACTTCTGAAAGCTCTATGGAGGGTCAGTGATGAGTTGATTTCAACTCAACAGCACTTAAAGTTTGAGTTAATCTCTACCAGGCACCTCTAACACACGGATTTTCAAAAGAAATCTTTATTGGTACTCTTTGTGTTGCTATCTAATTGTGTAGATAAAGGA